AATAGCTATTATAAAACACTTATGTGTTTTCTTTGTTAAATAAAATGGGCAAATCATGATGAAGAACTTGACCAGAAGTGAACAAAACAGAGTTGTAAAAAGTGTTTACCAGGTAAAGGCAGAAGCTATGCTGATTTGATCAAACACTGAAACTACATCCTAAATAATTGCTATACTGTTGATCACACTTTATTAAACATATAACGGTCCAAAAAAATTAAACTGTTGGTAATAAATAATTGGTATACTGTTGATCACACTTTATTAAACATATAACAGTCCAAAAAAATTAAACTGTTGGTAATAAACTCTTAGATTTTATACTTGACTTTCCTTCCTAATGAAAAGATCAAAGAATCAATTCATACTGTTTTACTGTTTTCCCAGAAAGTAAATTACAGGGAACTTTTATTGCTTAGGATTTAGGCAATGAGGCCAGAATGGCCAGGGGCATTTCCTTTTGTTTTCTTTTTTTTTTTTTCGTCTTTTTGAGACAGGGTCTCTCTGGAGCCCCAGCTGGCCTGGAACTCACAATGGAGACCAGGCTGGCCTTGAACTCATGAAGATCCGCCTGCCTCTGCCTCCCAAGGAGTGATGGGACTAAAGGGGTGCACCACCACTCCCGGCCTTCCTTTTGATTTCTAAGAGTTGAGGCTTTTTCCTGTTCTTCTGGCCCTGGCTCTGGAGCAGTCCACATGCAGCTGTGGTCAGGCCGAATATTCTAAGTCAGGTGCTGCCAGGAAAGCACAGGTAGTGGGGCTGGAGCCTAGGCTGCCAGCTGCTGGGTCCTTGAGTCTGTCCTGTTTCATCCTGAAACTCTGTCAGCGCTCACTTTCCCCTCCAGCAGCTGGGCTTGTCCCTCTTTTGAGACTTGTGTGCCCTCTACTGCCCTCTTTGCTGTTTTTTGTTTTGTTTGGTTTTTTCTTCAGATGGAAATAAACTGAACATTCCATGGCTTCACATTTTCCACTAGTGGGAAAATAAAGTTCTTGTGAAGAGGAATCTCACCATGCACTTAGCAGTGGGTCTGATAAGCTCATAAATTAGTAAAATGAAGTCTCTTTCTCAAAAATGGAAGGTCATTTTGGCAAATCTGGAAGCATAAAAACACGTTTTACAGCAAGTCTATGACATTGACTACTTTGGGTATCTTCTTAAGTTTTCAACATGAAATGGCTGCACCCAGAATATAAAAATGGCGTGTTGATCCTGCAGAAGAGCACCAGGACACAGGTGTGGGTCAGGGCAAGCAGTAGCTTTAACACTAGTGTGAGTTACAGAAGATACTTTCTCAGAGGAAACAGCCACAAGCAGCTCCCATACCCCTCCCTCCTTTGCTAATTCTGCCTAATTACTGTTTCAGGAAGGGTTTTCGCTCATTGGTAGCAGGACCTGGTTGAAGATTGTCAGACGCATGGACTGTCTCCTGTTTGGAACAACAGTAAAGGCAAGATGATGTTGAGCTGTGTGGCCATGTTTAGGCTAGTACTCTCACCCTCCTTGTAACAGTGAGGGTGGTGGAGGCACATGGAGTCTTGTGGGTGAACCAGTGCTGGGAGGAGCACTTGTTGGAGAACAGTTTGACTCATAAGCAAAACACAAAGTGGGGGCTGGAGGCAGGGGCCGCCACTCGAGTTCAGGTGATGGCCAGTCATCACCGTGCATCTCAGGAAAAGCTATTCTCTGCCCTAGCACTGGGAGCAGGTGGGCTGCAGCCCTGTGTGCCTGACTAGTTAGATATGTAAAAGGCTTCACTGAATGTGTATTTTCCTTTTTTCCCTTTGTAATAGTTTGTTTAAATCCCTTGTGTTTTTCTAGCTGTATTGAACATAAAAATGATCCTTATCAAAGAAACAGACTAATAACCTAGATTTTTTTTTAATAATTGTGAAAATCGGTCTGTTAACATTCACTGCATATATAATACTGAGATTTAGTGGAAAAATACTAATTTTTAATGGGTCAATGGATCTTGACAATTAAAAGAGTATTTAGTGGAGGGCTCTTAGCCAGGGACACAGAGACCCCCCACAGGCCCAACAGAGTTCAGGGTGTCCATGAACCTGCAGAGGTTTTCAGTGACGTCTACTTGAAATTTGTCATTTTCTTCTGTTAGGAATGTGAGCCACTGATGACAGTAGTATTAAGCCTTCTCACAGTGGGGTCCCACATATGTCGCTGTCACAGTTTGAGATAGCTCAGATGTCATTTCAATTCATCAGAACTCAGGAAGGTCACTAGTCCTAGTGTCAGGCTTCTCTTCTGAACCCACTAACAAAAAGGCATTTATTATCAGTTAACAGTGTTTTAACATTTAACTCTTCACTACAATGACAGGTTTCCTCTGTAGTCTTTTGTGTTTTATATGATTAAAAACATTGTTCTGAGAGGCTAGGAGATAAGATTAGCTCAGTTGGTAAAGTGCTTGCTATGTAAGCATGAAGCCTTAAGTTTGATCCCCAGAACTAGTGTTAAAAGGAGGGAAAAAGACAGTGGCATGTGCTTGAAGTCCCAGTACTGAGGAGGTGGAAACACATGGATCCCTGGGGCTCCCTGGCCAGTCAGCCTAGCGTAATTGGTAGGTTCCAGGCCAGTAAGAGACCTTGTCTCAAAAAAAAAGAGAAAGAAACAGGTGGACAGCACCCTAAGGAATTATAGCCAGACTTGACCTTGCTACACACACACACACACACACACACACACACACGCGCCCTGTGAAGGTTCCATTGGCTGAGTCTGGGGCACACATTCTAAAACACTGAAGAACTCTTTTCACTTTACATGAGGCCTTTAAAAATATTTTATTATTTTTATTTTATGTGTATGGGTATATTGCCTGCATGTATGTTAAGTGCACCTGTGTCCTGAGGTCCATGGAGGTCAGAAGAGGGTGTCAGATCCCCTGGAACTGGAGATACAGATGGTTGTTAGCTGCCATGTGGGTGCTGGGAAATCAAACCAGGGTTCTCTGTAAGAGTAGCCAGTGCTCTTAACTGCTGAGCCATTTCTCCAGCCCTCATATGTGAAGCCTTTTAAAAGGTTAAAACATGCTGTTTGATATTTGAGTTGAAAAAGTTTGTCTAATTGCATATCTTCATATATTTAAACTAAGTCTAAAGAGCAAAATAAAAAATCAACTTGTGATTTGGCTACTCAACCAGTATTAATTAGCATTTTAGCATTTTGACTGGACATACATATTGGGATTGTGTTCAGATTAATGTGCCAGACAACTCAGCTATAATGACTTAAAAGATATGTAATTTCCTTTTTTTTTTTCACTAAATAAGAAATCCAGAATCGGGCAGTTGGCAGCATGACCAGTGTCCAGGTGACCACCATGCATTGTCTTGTCCTTCACAGCTGCACACAGCAGATGCCAGCTGCACTGCATTTCTGTTTGAGGAAGGTCACCATCACACACCACCTTCCTGCCCCCCCCCATCTCTTCTAGAATAGAAACCTGGCCCTTGTACATGCTAGCCCAAGTGCTTTGCTCCTGACCCTCATCCCTAGCCACTTCTGTTGTAGAAAGCAAGCACGAAATTCATGTAAGTTTCTCCACCTCTCTGATTCCGTATGTGTGGGATATGGCCCTCCCACACTGCAGAGCTTAGGACAGTGAGCTTTTTCAGTTTCCATCAAGGGCTGGGTGGTAGAAGTTAACAGTCTGCCATATATATGAGTTAGTTCTTTCCTTCCACCGTGTGGGTCCTGAGGATTGAACTCAAGTTGTCAGGCTTGATGGCAGGTTGCCTTTACCCACTAAGCCATTGCCCCATCCCTAGAAAGCATTCTAAATGGCTACATGCATAGTATATTACAGAGATTATTTTAAATTTTTTGTTTTTTTAAAAGATTCACTCACAGGTGTGTCCAGATTTTTGACATTACAACAGACACTTGTCACCTAAACAACCAAAAAAAAAAAAACTTGCCAAAACAGCTATAATGTTTTAGGTTTACAATCTGTGTTGGGCCACATTCACAGCTATCTTCAGCCACATGTGGCCCAGGCTGGCCTGTGGCCAGCCACAGGTTTTTGCCTGACATGGTTCTTGAGATGGAAATCCTAGAAATACGTATGTCTTTTTTAACCTCCAGACCGTTTGTTCCTAACGCATTAGTAATGTGTAGAATGTTCATTTGTCCAAATCGTCCCCAATAGGGAGAGAGAACTTAAAGTTACAAACTACTTTCCAACTTGGTAGGCAGAAATAAGCATTTTCCTTAAATTTACATTTTTTTTTTCCTTTTTGAGATGGTCTCCCTGTAGCTTCAGCTGGCCTTGGAACTCCTTATGTAGATCAGGCTGGCCTCGAACTCCCAGAGATCTGCTTGCCTCTGCCTCCCAAGTGCGGGGAGTAAAGGCCTGTGCCACCACACCCAGCTGAATTTACATTTCTTTAATAAGGGGTAAAAATGTAATTTTTATGAAACACCTCTATTTCTTCTGTTAATCATCTATATATACTCTCTTTATAAACTCTTTAGAGCATTTACACTGTATAATTTTCATAGCTATATAAGCTTTAATACATATGTGTATATATCACAGTTATACTTTAAAGATTTATTTTTATTTCAAATTATGTGTATGTGAAGCTGGAGTTATAGGTGCTTGTGAGCCACCTGATGTGGGTGTTGGAACTGAATCATGATGATCCTCTTCAAGAGTAGTAGCAAGCTCCTAATGACTAAGCCACCTCTCCACTCCTAGATGTTTTTAAACTTAAGGCTAGGAGTCTTTTGTTTTTTCATCTTTTTGAGACAAGGTCTCCCTGTAGCCCCAGCTGTCACTATGTAGACAGGCTGGCCTCGAACTCACAGAGATCCGCCTGCCTCTGCCTCCCGAGTGCTGGGACTAAAGGTGAGTGCCACCACGCCCGGCCCAGCTAGAAGTCTTTTGTCTGCTGTTCCTTAAATATATTATGTTCTCATCCCCAAGATATTGCCAGCTACTTACCATTGGATTTTCTCTGAATCAGTATAAATTTATCCTCCTTTCAAACTTTTATTAACCAGTAATTTGTTAGTTTTTTTAGTTTCTAGCAAAAAAAAATTTATCATCAGCAAATAATGATAATTTTATCTTTTTCCAATGATTCACATTTTGTGTTACTTTCTCACCTGTGATGGTTAAGCTTCATTTTCAACTTAGAATCATCTAGAAGAGAAACCTTTGGGTGTTTCTAGAGATGTTTAAGTGAGGTGATAAGACCCACCCTAAATGTGGGTTGGGTCCCGAGTGAAAAGGGCGCAGGGCAGGAAAGCTGATGAGCACCAGCATTTATCTCTGCCTCCTTGACTGCAGATGGAAGGTGACCAGCCCACATCTCCCACCCACAACATGTACTTTTTCCTCCATGAGGACTGCATCCCATCAAACCTTGAGCCGAAGTAAACCCTTCCTTCCTTCCTTCCTTCCTTCCTTCTTCCTTCCTTCCTTCCTTCCTTCCTTCCTTCCTTCCTTCCTTCCTTCCCTCCCTCCCTCCCTCCCTCCCTCCCTCCCATTGCTTTAACTCAAGTATTTTCATCTTCCTGACTTGCATGGGAATGTGGGGTGTTTTTTTCTTTTTTTTAAGAGAGGGTCTCCCTATAGCCTCAACTGGCCTAGAACTCGCTGTGTAGACCAGACTGGCCTCAATCTCACAGAGAGCCACCTGTCTCTGCCTCCTGGCAAGGAATGTGGTTTTAGATATTAATACACCCCTAGCTGTTGTCTGGGGATTTATTGTAGTTTCTTTACTAATACTTTTATTCTTTTATCAGGATTACATGATAAATTTCACAAATGCTTTTTTTTTTTTTATATTTATTTCATGGAAGGAGGCGGGACATGTGAGTGCCAGGTCAGAGGACGTGTTAGGTTAGGGGTAGGTTTCTCCTTCCACCACATGAGTCCCAGGGGTTGATTTTAGGTCAGTAGGCTTGGCAGCATGCACTTTGACTTGCTGAGCTATCTAAGAGGCCCCATCAAGTACTTTTTGACTCCTAGCAAAGTAATGGTTTTTTTCCCCCTCCTTCAATCTGTTGACTTGATGTCATACACTAATAAGTCTCACTTTAAATTTATTAAGTATTATGTAGCAAGCACTATTGTTTAAATTTATAAACAACAATGTTCATTCCTGCAATAGAATTTTAATATAACTTAGATTTTGCAGATAGTTAACACTATTTTTCTCTCTTCAAGTTGAAACACATAGATTGAGTAAATTATGGCTGGTGGGCCTCTTTTAACAGTTCTGATCAGTAATAATGGCCAGTTGTATAGCAGTAGACATTTAATTCCTATCTGAAGGACACTTTGGCCTTTAGTAACTCCCTGGAGAATTTTGTTTGGCCTAGGCTTTGAGAATTGTCTCTTGGTGTCAAAACAAGTAATACATTAATTTTCCTTCTCTGAGTGCATTAGTCCATTTTGCACTGCTAGAATGAAGTTACTGAGGCTAGGTGATGTTACAAGGAAAAGGGATTTATTTAGCTTATTTTTGGCGGCTTAAGATCTGCATCTGGTGAGGACCTCCTTGTTGACAAGTGACCTGAAGTAGTGCAGGGCACCACATGACAAGCCAGGGAACGTGCATTTGTCTAGCCTCTCTCCCCCTTCTTACAAAGCATCCAAGGCTCAGTCATGAGCCTGTCTTAATGACCTCCCAAAGGCTTCATCTCTTAATACTACATTGGATTAGTCTATGTCCTCTACAGTACAGAAATCCACTCAGTGGGGAAGAAAATGTAGTTGGAGTCTTGATAATACTAAATTTCTTACAATGTCAGTAATCTAAAACTACCAAGAAAACACACTGGCCTTGTGACCCTTCCCTGGCTCTATGTGGCACTGACTGGGCAATCATGTTTTCAGGGTATATGACATAACATCTGATGTCAAGTGGCCTAAACATCTCAGTGTCAGCAATTGGTGAGCCTGTCCCTCCTGGACAGAAAAGCCTCCGTTTTCCTGTATGTGTAGGTGTGTGTGGAGGTGCTAACCCTCACCTCATGCTTCCTCAGGGAGTCTGTTAGAGGAGGAATTTTCTGTCAGTTCTTAGAACTTGAAATTAACTATCCACTTAACATCAAAAACCATTTCACTTAAAACACTGTAAGAGTACATCTCCTTAGATGACTGAAAGTAGAGACTATGTGGATAATTCATGACTGCTATTATACTTGAAAACTTTTCTCTAGGGCCTAGAGAGATGGCTCAGCAGTTAGAGCACTTGCTGCTCTTGAAGAAGACCAGAGTTCAATTCCCAGGACCCACATCAGGTGGCTCACAACTGCCTGTAATTCCAGCTTTAAGGGATCTGATGCTCTCTTCTGACCTATATGGGCACCTGCACATACATACATACATACATACATACATACATACATACATACATGCAGACATATAAGTAAAAAATTTAAAAATCAGAACCTTTTTGCTAACAGAAAGCTCTTTTTATTGTGGCCATAAAATGCAAGATTTTCAACTTAGCAGTCCTTTTGGTTGGTGACCCATGGCACTGAGAGGATGGAAGATGGTGCATTTTCTTTCAGAACATGCCCAAATGTATGCTGGTTTTTATCTTGGGTTCATATGCACTGAAGTGTATTTCTGGCTTCAGATGATAAGCACAAATTCCATAGCCGCAAACGGGGACAACTTCATCAGGCTGTCAGACATACAACTTTCCCCTTCAGATAAACCCTATCTAAACTAATTCTTATATGCCACACATAGATAGCTCTAGACTTCACAGAATTGAAGATTTTGCCGTATCTGTTCCCTTAATATGTCTGTCTGTGCTACAGCTTTTCAGCTAGTTACCAAGTTCAAGTTTTGACACACTGTTACTCAAAAGATTACTTAAAGCACCAACACAGCTATATAAGAACTCAGAGAAACTGAACGTAGAGTTCTCTTACTACTGCTTCCATTTTTCCTCAGGGAAAGGTAGCTTTTAATAAGGGGTGATGTATTATCCATCCAGAGAAAAGGTGGCTAAATGCAATAATAAGTATACACAAAAGAAAAAATAAAGCTTAAGAAACATCTTCAACCCACATGTATAAGCAGATAAATGAAAATTTGATAATCTTTTTAACCTAGTAGGTTGACAAAAATGAAATGCATAAACATCTGGATGCTGGAAGGTACAGGTGATGGGTGTATGCTCCATGGGAGTAAACTGGTCCTATCTTCCCCAGGGCAGTGCCTTATGTGTCAAACTAGGAAACACACATATCCCCTGACCCAGCAAGTCTGCTTTTAGGCATTTTTATACATAGATATATATTTAAGAGTATTTATCAAAGCTTTCTGGTTTACAATAGGAAAAAAGGTTGGGAATAACCTAAATACTTTGTGGTTTATAATAGGAAAAAAGGTTGGGAATAACCTAAATGTTTGTCAGCAGGAGGTCAAATAAAGGAGTATGCTTCAGCTTTTAAAAGTAATTATCTGGGGCTGGAGAGATGGCTCAGCAGTTAAGAACACTGACTGTTCTTGCAGAAGACCCAAGTTCGAATCCCAGCATCCACATGGCAGCTAACAACTGTAACTCCAGTTCCAGGGGATCTGACAGCCTCTTCTGTCCTCTGCAGGCATTGCATGACATGGATGCACTTACCTACGTGAAGGCAATACACGCATACAAATAAAATAAAAATAATAAATAAAATATTTTTAAAAACCAAAAGTAATGATCTATACTTCTATCTTTATTATTTTTATGTGTATTAGTGTATTGCCAGCATGTATGAAGTGCACCCGTGTTGTGCAATGCCTGCGGAGGACAGAAGAGGGTGTTAGATCCCCCTGGAACTGGAGCTACAGAGAGTTGTTAGCTGCCATGTGGGTGTCAGGAATCGAACCCGGGTCCTCTGCAAGAACAGCCAGTGCTTTTAACCGTTGAGCCAGCTCTCTAGCCCCTATACTTTTTAAACACTTATTGTTAAATAGAAAATTACTGAACAGCCAGTACTGTCGTTTATATATTTAAAATATAATTTATATACTGTGTTCTAAGTGCTGCAAGATTTATGAGTGAGTTCTAACAGATATGTATATATATTAGAATATTCCTTTTCGTATTTCCAGTGTTAGAAGGGGTAATGATGAGTAACTTATACTCAAAAAAAAAATTAAGTGACATAAAATATGAAAAGCAGCAAACAGTGATGAGAAGAGGTAGGGTCTGTGTTCTTATGCATGGACCTGTCTCAGCCATGCTGAGAGCACTAGAATCCAAGTCCATGGCTCTGCTTAGTGAGTTGATTTAAAGAGAGTAAGCCGAGCATGAGAAAGCAAGGACTTGCCTATAGAACTTTTGGAATCTGCTGAGGTCATTCATTCAAACTCACGTGGTTTGCATGTTTAGTGAGGACATCGGCATGTGAATCTCAGCATGTGGTTTGCATATTGAATCAGGACATTGGCTTGTGAATCTCAGCATGTGGTCTGCATGTTTAGTGAGGATATCGCATGTGAATCTCAGCACCCTCATTCCTTCACAGCAGATACTGATCAAGAGTGGACAGTGCTGTTTGGTTAGCTGACTCACCTAAACCAGGCAGATTAGACTAGGAAAAGAAATTACCAATTTTCCGCTATTATATATTTTTTATTACTTTTTTTTTGGGGGGGAGTCTTTTTGAGACAGGGCCTCCCTGTAGCCCCAGCTGTCCTGGAATTCACTATGTAGATCAGGCGGGCCTTGAACTCACAGAGGTCCGCCTGCCTCTGCCTCCCAAGTGCTGGGATTAAGGGCATGCGCCACCATGCACAGCTATTACTTTTATGTGTATGAGTGTATTGCCTGCATGTATGTGAGTGCACCTGTGTTGTGCAATGCTGTAGAGGTCAGAAGAGGGCTTCGGATTCCCCGGGAACTGGAGTTTAAGGACGGTTCGTAGCCACCATGTAGGTGCTGGGAATCGAACCTGGGTCCTCTGCAAGAGTAGTCAGTGCTCTTAACTGCTGAGCCATCTCTCCAGCCCCCGCTATTATATTTTTAATAGACTTACAATCAAATAAGTTTGATATAACTGCGAGATTTTAGGTTTTTAAAATTGTATCTGTCCCACATTTGCTAATTTACCAAAGGCTGTACCTCATATAGCAAACCGAAGCAACTTTCTTCCTAAGGATAAAGCACGGCTTCTGCCCAGCTTTCCTCTTCAGAATGTTCACTGCCTCATTTAATGTGGCAACCAGCTACCTCGTTTGCTTTTTTTCCTGTTTTCTTTCATTTGTGTATGTGCTTGTGTATGTGTACATACGGGTGTTCACTGAAGCCAAGTCAGTCTTCCTCAATCACTTTCCACCTTCATTTCTGAGACAGGGTCTCACTGAACCTGGGTCTCAGTTTCAGCAAGGCTGGCTGGTAGCAGACCCTGGGATCCTCTTGTCTCCACTCCCCAGTGCAGGGATTGCAGACATGTACTGCAGTGCCTGGCTCTTACCTGGGTGCTGGGGATCTGAACCCAGGTCTTCATTTAACCCACTGAGCCATTTCTCCAGCCCTTTATTTGCTCTTTTCCTTTACTCAGTTCAAAAAAAGTTTGTTGAGCCAGAACTGTAGTATAGTTTATTGTCTTCACTGGTGAAATTAGAAGCTGTGAAACACATTTTGTTGTATGCTAACCTAAAAAGTTATGACACAATATTTTACAGCTTTTTTTTTTTTTCGGTCTTTTTGAGACAGGGTCTCCTTGAGGCCTCAGGTGGCCTAGAGCTCACTGTATAGACCAGGCTAATCTTGAACTCTGCCTCCTGAGTACTAAGATTAAAGGCATACGTCACCATGTCCAGCCTACAGCTTCTATTTTTACTAAGCCAGAGAAAACACCGACCTTCCACTGCAGTTAGCAGAATGACCATCCAGTTTTGCTGGAGTCAGTTCCCCGAGGGAAACCAGTTTTAGTATGAGGAAGGGTTTCTAAAAAAGACACAAAATAAGTCACTAGTTCTCCTGTACTTGCACAGCAAACAAGAGTGACCATTCTCTTATTCACACTGCTGGCCCCGCAGGCAAAGGGGCCACTCACTAGAAGACCCTAATATGAGCCAAACTCAAGTGATGTGCCATGGCGCTCTCTGCATAACTTTTCGTTTGTCAAACAGAACAAGAGCCGCATGTTTCGAGTACAGTTTAGTGGAGAGCACAAGGAAAAGGCACTGGAGCACTGCTGCAGCTGTGTGCAGACCCTGGCCCAGTATATCACCGTAGAGGCTCCTGACAGCGTCACCCAGGAGCTTCAGCAGACTCCAGGCCCACTGTTGGCAGGTGAAAGCCAAGGGAAGGACCGTTCAGGGACTGACCCACAGCAGCAGCAGGTGAGTGCTGGCTGTACAAGGAATCTGAGGTAATGCACTGTGGGGACCCAAACTGAACCATGGGGTCCATCAGGCTGGTGTTTAAAAGATAATGTTGAGGCTGGGACACATCTTTAATCCCAGTACTCAGGAGGCAGAGGCAGGCAGATCTCTGAGGTTGAGGCCAGCCTCTTGGCAAGTTCCAGGCCAGCCGAGGCTACAGGGAAACCCTGTCTCAAAAAAATGTTGAAGACCCTGGTTTTTCTTTTTTTTTAAACTATTTTTATTTTCTGTGTTTATTTTTTATTTATATATTTATTTTTGTGTTTAATAAGCCAGACAAAACACCGACCTTCCACTACAGTCAACAGAGTGACTATCCAGTTTTGCTAGTCAGTTTGTTCCCTGAGGGAAACCAGTTTCAGTGTGAGGATTTCTAAAAAAAAAGGGACAAAATGAGTCATTAGCTTTCCTGTACCTGCACAGCAAATACAATAACTGTCTTACCTCCATGTATGTAAGTGCACCCGTGTCGTGCAATGCCTGTGGAGGTCAGAAGAGGGCATCAGATCCCCTGGAACTGAAGTTACAGATGACTGTTAGCCATCATATGGGTTCTGGTGTAGTGGGGTGCTTCACCAGAGAAAACCACTCAAAGTTTTGCCAAATGAAAGTCATTACTGACCAGGACTACTACAGAAGGGTGTCAGACACCCAAGTGTGTAGCACCGAGCCATCTCTAGGGTAAGCTTTTATACAGAGAAATCATAACCAGGGGTGAAAATTTTAAGTCCCCAAGCTTACAAGTGGAGAGCCCCCTTAACAATTTCTATTCTATTAAGTAACAATTAGTATTTTGCTGAAGCAAGCCAAGCATAACCTATAGAAGCCATAAATCTTCAGTTAGCAGGTATACTCTGGGACAGTCTGATCTGTTCCCAAGATAATCAGGGTCCAGCTGATATATGTTCTCATACTCTGGGCCAACTGCCTGATAATTTCAGAGACTAGAGTCAACCTAAACTTTAACATGGCATAGCTATGATCAAGAAAGTGCCCTATTACACTGGGAACCTAACCTGGATCCTCGTAACTGCTGAGCCATCTCTCTCTAGTCCCCTTGAGTGATCTTTAAAAATCAAGGTCATACTTACAGCTGCTTATAATTCAGGAAATTAGAGAGGGAGAGAGTCCCAATTGTACCCCAGTGTCACTGTAGAACAGGATTTCTCAAAGTGTCCCTGGGCCCTTCTCTGGGCTTCTGCCAGAAAACCCAGAAAGTCAAGATTCTTTTCATCATAATTTATCACTTTTACTGTGGTCATCTACTTTGCAAGGCCAGCTTTGTAAACTGCTATAGGCACAAACCACACAGTGGCACAAAACTGCCAGCTGTCACAGCCTAACTTCACAAGGCACACAAAGTAAAAACCCAACCAAAACCCAGGAGCCCACGTTCAATGAGTGCTGATTCTCTCTGCAAAGCCCAAGACACTTGGATCAGCAGCTGAACTGGCTTCTCTCAGGGACCACCACTGTTGCTTAAAAAGAATCATGGAGATACTATGGTTGTTCAGGTTTGACTGAGCACTTCAAAATGAGATGACTATTTACTGACCAGAAAATCTAAAGTTTTTTGGTTTTTTTCTGAGACAGAACCTGCCCTCTAACCTGTGATCTTCCTGCCTCAGCCTCCAGAGTACTGGGATTACATGTGTACACCACTATGCTGGGCCTACAATGTAAACTTTTAAGTGGAAGATACAGAGTCCTGGAAACATTTTTGTCTGTCACACCTTCTTAACCCAGCAGACTTTTCTGAGGTCACACAAGTGGATGCAATTTACCTTTTATAATTAAATGACAAAGTATGTTGAGATCTGGAAGCTGTGTAGTGTAGTGAACCAATATTTACAAGCAGACCAGTGCATAGTACTACCAAATTTTATGTGTATAAAGAGCTATTCAAAGTGCAAAAACAGAATAACAGAATTTAACACCCAGGTATTTCAAGTTCATTTCAGTAGGTTCAGATCTTATGCTGAGGTAACTTGTAAGCAGCTTCCACTTATTGGGTTTGGGTACTGGACGTGGTGGCACAAGCCTTTAATTCCAGCATTTGGGAGGCAGAGGCAGGCAGATCTCTTTGAGTTCAAGGCCAGCCTGGTCTACATAGCAAGGTCCAGGCCAGCTGGGGATACAGAGAGACCCTGTCTCAAAAAAAAAAAAAAAAAGCCAATTATCTTTTTTTCAGAGTTTATTTTTATGGGGCCAGAGAGATGGCTCAGCAGTTAAGAGCACTGACTGCTTTTGCAGAGGACCCAGATTCGATTCCCAGCACCCACATGGCGGCTATGAACCATCCTTAACTCTCCAGTTCCAGGGGAATCTGAAGCCCTCTTCTGACTTCCACGGCATTGCACAACACGGATGCACTCACATACATGCAGGCAATACACTCATACACATAAAATAAGTAAAATGTTTCTTTAAGTTTGTTTTTATTTATGTGCGTGCACAAGCCATGTTTATGCAGGTACCTGCAGAAGCCAGAAGAGGGCGTCGGATCTCCTGGAGCTGGAATTACAGGCAGTTGTGAACCACCTGACATGCATGTTGTGAACCAAACTTCTCTGAAAGAAGTTAACCATTGAGCTCTCTCCAGTTCCCCAGTTATCTAACTAGCACACATCTGTCAGGTCAGCCAAAACGTGGCAGCAGTCAGAACACAGAGGCAGGTATGAGAATTTGGCTAGAGACTAGAGACATTTATAGAAATTATTGTTTTGCTCTGGAAAATAACTGTAGTAGTATTTTGTAAAATATTAAGTGCATTGCCTGCATGTAAGTAAGTGTACCCGTGTTGTACAAGGCCTGCAGAAGTCAGAAGAGGGCACTGAATCCCCTGGAACTGGAGTTACTGACAGCTGTTAGACAGCATGTGGGTTCTGGGAATCGAACTCAGGTCCTCTGCAAAAGCAGTGAGTGCTCTTAACCACTGAGCCATCTCTCCAGCCCCAGCAGTAGTTTTTAAATGATTAAAACAGATGTTTTAATTTCTAACATGATAAAGATCAGCTAGGCATTAACTCAGAAGTCATTGAGGGCCTCAATAATTTATGACAGCTAATTTATCTCAGCTAAAAAGGGATCATGGGATCCAAAGTTTGGGACTTAGAATTTCTTCCAGAAGTACATATTCCTTTGTACTTTGTACAGCATTTCTTTGACACAGCCCCATATATTGTTAAAATAAGCAAGTACCTGTGCTCAAGGGGAAATTCAGGTTTCAAGCTGGGTTATGTTCTACTTTGAAAAGTGATTTCCCAACTGTGACTTTCCTATCACTTCACATTAGATTCCCTTAACCAAGACAATTCATTTTTGCTGTTCGATCACAAAATTTCTTACCAGTGTTGCTAATGTGAACATAAATGACTCGCTCATTTGTAATTTATTTCAGCTAAGACAAACTTAAGCAGAGGCTACAAGACTTCCTCTCTAGTGTTCAGTTTGCTGCATTTTTATGTTTTAGAATTCTTACCTTCAAGTATGTTTTGTGAAGTACCTGAATGCTGGAGTTGCTTACCTCAGAAACCCAAATCCTGTTTCAAACAGCAGGCCTTATCTGCTACTAGATTAAGAATGGCCTCTAGGCCAGTAGAGCTAGCACACACCTTCAATCCCAGCCCTCCAGAGGCAGAGGCAGGCAGACCTCTGAGATTGAGGACAGCCTGGTATACACAGTGAGTTTAGGCCAGCTGGGGCTACAGGAAGACCCTGACTCAAAACCAAACAAGAATGCCCTCCACTATGATGGACTGGGTATAGACTTTTCTTTGCTGTGACAAAATGAGATGAAGGAGAAAAGATCTGTTCTGGCTCAGTTTCTGAACATGGTAGGCTTGCTCTGTTGGTATGGGCCTGTGATGGGGCAGAACATCATGACTATAGAAATGTTCAGCAAAACAAAGGTCATTTTATGGAGGCCAGGACACACAGAGGGACAAAAACAAGACATATCCTTCAAAGTGGCCCACTTTCTGCAAATAGGCCCCACCTCCTAGTAGTCCATTACCAATGAACTGATCCACTGATGACATCAGAACACTCAGGACACTTCCCAAAAGCTTGTCAGCTGTCAACCAAGCCTTTAACATGTGTCCCCTTTGAGGGGACACTTCATATCCAAAACCTAACAGGTGATTTATTGTAAGTTACCTTATTGCCTAAGTCTTTACCCTTGAAGTCTTATTTTTTACATAGTTTACCTAATGCACGGAGCTTGACAAGAATTCCCCAGAGTCCCAGGATTTGGAAGTCAGGTTTGGAATGCCTTCTCCAGGTCCATCAGGCTCTATCAGGCAACTCATGGTTATACTGTATAGGAACACAGGCAGACTGAGGCTATAGGCTGAACAGCAGATGAAGGCTCTGCTGTGTTGACTTTAAAAGGCTGGTCCCAGATGTCTAGGTAGAAATATCCTAAAAGTAGTGAGAAAACTTTCATGTCTTTCTTGAGTCTATTTTCAGGAACTCTTCTCATCTGTAATTTGGTGTTCTGGATAGGTGAGACAACCTGATGTTATGCAAAGGCCAAAGGCTTGATGTCACACAGATCTAGGTTAGAGTCCTGGCCCGGTTTTGTGGTAGCTGTGATCTCATACAAGCCCCTGAAACACCTCTGTAAAATGGTGACAGTGAAATGCAGGGTAGACACTGGATGCAGTGCCTGCAATTAGAACAGATTCTATTCCCTATTACCACATTTGCTAATAAGCTTGTCTTTTAGATCTGCCTTTCCTTCCAACAAACCACTAGCAAAGATCAGAACCTCCAGAGCCCAGAAAGGACAGGAAACTGCCGAAGGTGCACAGCAGAAGGCAAAGCCACTGAAGGCAGGCTTTGTGAGGCACAGCCTAGAGATTCCAGTCTTAATGACTAAACATTTCCCAGGCTGGCCCTTAACTTGTGGCGGTGCACAAACACAGATGCATGCTCTTTCAGAGTTTACCTTAAATGTTGCAAGCCATGGGCAAGTCCCGGTCATCTTGCTGCTCTCCTATGTTCAGGTGTGTGGTTCCTAATACCTACATCTTTTTTTAGTTGAAAGTCCTTGCTCCCTTCTTTGCAAATAGGGATAATTCTATGTCTTTTCTATTTAAAGTTCTTGAGTCATTTCTCAGCTCATGTTTTAGTTTTTACTCTTTCTCCACCTTGTAATTTTATTGTGGCCTAACCAGGTGTTTCTCAACCAGGGTACTCTTGAGGCAACCCAGTCCACCCTAGAGAAGGGGGACAGGAAAGACAAGGAGGATGGCAGTTCCTATTGTGACCATTTTTGTTAACACAAAAGGTCCAGAAGTAATAGTCAAGAGGTCTGCTACTGTGTGCACAAAGCCTTCCTTTTCTCTTCAGTTGGTAAGGGGAACCCCTAATCCAAGAGTCTAGCAGCCTCAGAGGTGCAGTCACACTTAGCTGCTGTTTAATGTTGGTGGGTGGTATTTTGGCTGACATTTTTCTCAGAGGGTGCAGCGCACCATGTGAGCTGAACTCAGATACCCTAGGCTCTGGAGAAACAGGACAAAAGACAGGCTTGAGCAACTTCTGCCTCGAACAGACACGTTGCTGAGGGACAAGAAAGGCCCTACAAGAGGGCCGGCCTTGCTTGCTTTCTGTATCACACCCTCAGCTCCTACCTAGCACAGGAGCACTGCTGTAGATAAGCAGTCTGGCAGCAACAAGTTCCCAGAATACAACCAGGGCCCTTGGAAGTGCAACTAGTGCTGCGCTCCTGACTGAAGCAGAAGCACTGGCTGATGCTCCCCTGCTTGTTCTCACCAGTCTTGGAATTCTAAGACAGGATCTCTATCTTACTCCTCTAAGGCCCAGCCTGTATCACCCAGTGTCTGGTACAGACACAAACAGCTGTTGGGTCTATCTAAAGAATTTTATTTAATGAGAAACTCATTCCTTCATTATGTTGAAAATGAGATTTTTTTTTAAAAAAAATCTAGTTTAAAAAATTTTTATTTTTATTTTATGTATATGAGTGTATTGCCTGCATGTATGTGAGTGCATCTGTGTTGTGCAGTGTCACGGACGTCAGAAGAGGGCTTCGGATTCCCCTGGAACTGGAGTTAAGGACAGTTTGTAGCCGCCATGTGGGTGCTGGGAATTGAACCTGGGTCCTCTACAAGAGCAGTCAGTGCTCTTAACTGCTGAGCCATCTCTCCAGCTCCAAAAGTTGTCTTACAGTTATTGTGGAATTCCCATTTGCATTTCTGCAATTAACGGGTTATCAACTTGAGTAGTAAGTTTTAAAAGGTGGCAAATCACTATCAGCAGATGCCAGGCATCATGTGCACACAGGTTAGCACAGCAGCACTACTGCTCCCCTAGGTGCTGGCCCAGAGTCCTAGGTGGGCCCTTGTGACATAAGTGTGCTGTGGTGTCTGACAAGGCCGTAACAGCCCATCAACTGCTCAGAACACCAGGTATGAGTACTTCTGCTGTGCTAGAACAAGCAAGCCCTTACCAGGACTGACCTTTTACATAAGCATGACTAATGACCACTTTTCCCAATACGTGTTTTTCTTTGAAGATGAAAATGTGCTTCCTTTTTTGGTGGTGGTGGTGGTGGGGTCTTTTTAAGACAGGGCTCCCTTGTTAGCTCCAGCAGGCCTGAAACTCCTATATAGGCCAGATTGGCCTCAATCTCAGATCCACCTGTCTCTGCCTCCTGAGTGCTGGGATTAAGGGTGTGCACCACCCCACCCAGCTTGTTTCCTCTCTAGTGGCCTGTACTGTTCGTATTGCTAGTATTCTAACTATATATTGTTTCCTTCCAGCCCCACTTGAACCTGGAACAGCAGGTGTGTGTCACAACCAGCACAGGTGCCCTGGAGGGAAGGATTTCAGTGATGCAGTTAGCTCAGGTACAATCTATTTCTGTGCTAGGTCTTATTAAAAACTGGTCTGCCAAGAATCTGTACGCCTTCCCTTGTTCTAGAAGAGAAACCTGTTAATATACAGAAGGTAAAGACAGAGATAGGTCATTACCTTTACGCTATGTTCTGCGATTAGACAGATTTGCCTAAGGAAATCAAGACTGGCTTAATAGATCACAAAGAAACCACCACCTTCTTATAAAGAATAAAATAATTCAAATTGTGCAAGAAAGATTTAGAAACTATTCCAAAACAAACTGGAGAAAGATTTGGAAACTATTCTAAAACAAACTGGAACCTACAGTGGTTCCTGCAGAAGCAACTTTCAGAACGAGGCAGTGGTCACCTCAGACCCATTTGCAAATGGCTCCTGCCTCCTTGCACCTTCATTCCCAGTCCTGTTGCTGGCTGTCCGCTCTGCTGGTGTTCTGAGGACCCTGCCTGCACCACATACCAGTTCATGTTTTCCAGAGAACCTGCATGGATAGTCATCAGTATTTAAGGACTGTGAACAGTGGTACAAAAAAGAATGTTGTTTTTTGTTTCCATCTGGCTAATTCAAAATAAATGGACCATCGTTAACTCATGAGAGAAGGCAGTGGGCAAGTACATGCTTAGCATGTGAAAGGCCTTGGGTTCAATTCCCAACCTCCACCCACAAAAAAAGAAATGACAAAGAATTCACGTCTTGGGGCTGGAGAGATGGTTCAGTGATTAAGAACACTGGCTGTTCTTGCAGAAGACCCAGGTTCGAATCCCAGCACCCACATGGCAACTAACAACTACCTGTGACTCCAGTTCCAGGGGATCTGACAGCCTCTTCTGTCCTCTGCAGGCACTGCATGACATGTGTACACTTACCTACATGCAGGCAATACACACATACAATAAAATAAATATTTTTTAAAAAAAGAATTCATGTCTCTTTATTAACTATAACAGAAAAATTCAGACACTTACTTGTCCAGCAGCAGGAAAGATTTAGCAAGGCCCCCTCTCCCCTTGCTCTGGGAGAGTGGCCAGAGACATCTGCAGAGCTTCAAGAAGACAAGTAGCAGGACAAAGTGGGATGGCCTCATTGAGGCATGCCTGCTGCTAGACAGTGTCCTAGCTCCGTTCACACACACAACAGGAAAATCATGCACAAGGTGAGAAAAGGCTCAGTGCTCAGAAACTGTTTGCTCTAACTTTTTGGACAAGTCATCCTATGCATACAAACATGGATAAACTTCTTGGGAGCCAATTATAGTATAAATCAAATTTCATTCCTTTTCTTACAACTGCATTTCAGCTACGTGTGTGCATATATATACACACACACACATATGAATATAATTTATGTATATAATTACATTATATAATGGAATCAACATAAATGTTCACTATCCTGAGTGGCTAAAGTGTAGTATAATCACACATGGGATAAAAATATGATTAGGGGGACTGGAGAGATGGCTCAGGGGTTAAGAGTACTTAATGCTCTTGCAGAGCACCAGGGTTCAGATTCCAGCACCCACACAACAGTTCACGACTGTCATGTCAGTAACTCCAGTAGAGGCTATTGGATCCCTTCTTCTGGCCTCTGTGGGCACTTCACACACATGGTACCTACCTATATATGCATACAGTTAAAACACACACACACACACACACACAGTTTTTAAAAGTGTGATTAGGGCCAGTGAGGTGGTTTGGTAGCTACAAGCACTTGCCACTAAGCCTGACAACCTGAGTTTGATCCCCAGAACCTGCATGGTGAAAGAACCAGTTCCAGGGGATCTGACAGCCTCTTCTGTCCTCTGCAGGCACTGCATGACATGTGTACACTTACCTACATGCAGGCAATACACACATACAATAAAATAAATATTTTTTAAAAAAAGAATTCATGTCTCTTTATTAACTATAACAGAAAAATTCAGACACTTACTTGTCCAGCAGCAGGAAAGATTTAGCAAGGCCCCCTCTCCCCTTGCTCTGGGAGAGTGGCCAGAGACATCTGCAGAGCTTCAAGAAGACAAGTAGCAGGACAAAGTGGGATGGCCTCATTGAGGCATGCCTGCTGCTAGACAGTGTCCTAGCTCCGTTCACACACACAACAGGAAAATCATGCACAAGGTGAGAAAAGGCTCAGTGCTCAGAAACTGTTTGCTCTAACTTTTTGGACAAGTCATCCTATGCATACAAACATGGATAAACTTCTTGGGAGCCAATTATAGTATAAATCAAATTTCATTCCTTTTCTTACAACTGCATTTCAGCTACGTGTGTGCATATATATACACACACACACATATGAATATAATTTATGTATATAATTACATTATATAATGGAATCAACATAAATGTTCACTATCCTGAGTGGCTAAAGTGTAGTATAATCACACATGGGATAAAAATATGATTAGGGGGACTGGAGAGATGGCTCAGGGGTTAAGAGTACTTAATGCTCTTGCAGAGCACCAGGGTTCAGATTCCAGCACCCACACAACAGTTCACGACTGTCATGTCAGTAACTCCAGTAGAGGCTATTGGATCCCTTCTTCTGGCCTCTGTGGGCACTTCACACACATGGTACCTACCTATATATGCATACAGTTAAAACACACACACACACACACACACAGTTTTTAAAAGTGTGATTAGGGCCAGTGAGGTGGTTTGGTAGCTACAAGCACTTGCCACTAAGCCTGACAACCTGAGTTTGATCCCCAGAACCTGCATGGTGAAAGAAAAGAACAGAGCCTACAAGTTGTCATTTGACCTCCATGTGTGCATGCTGTGGCATGTCCCCCAAATACATACATACATACTTGGAAGACTACTCACCAATGTCAGAAGTGGCTCTCTTGGACAACATGAATCCATGTTATTTTTGTTTTCTTCTTCATATCCTTAAGTAGAATCTGAAAAGCTGATTTAACTTTTAGAAAGGTAAAGTTCTGTTACAGTTCTTAGAGAAATGCTCATTGTACACTCATGTACTAAGCCGCACCATCCGTCTATAGAAGGGGAGTTAAACCACCTACCTGACAGAACTAATGTGGAGTCCACAAGATAACTGAGCCAAAGGGCCAAAAGTAAGTGGATCCCAACAGAGCTGTAGCTGTCAGCACGCTGGTTAAGCACTGACCCATCTTCTAAACTGTCAAGCAGAGTTGGACTTCAGTTTGAACACTAATATTTAGACAACTTAATTGGTTTTAAGGGTTGAAGATGTTGCTCAATAGAATGGTGCTGTCTAGCATGCATGAAGCCCTGGGTTCTAACCCTAGCACCACATAAACCAGGTATAGTGTGGCACATATCTGTAATCCCAGCACTCAGGCGAAGGCAAGCAGGATCAGAAGTAAGTCACTCATGGCAACATACTGAGTTTGAGACCAGCCTGTGATACTTGAGACCCTATGTTAAAAACAAAAAACAGGCTGGGCGTGGTGGTGCATGCCTTTAGTCCCAGCACTTGGGAGGCAGAGACGGGGATCTATGTGAGTTCAAGGCCAGTCTGGTCTACACAGTGAGTTCCAGGCCAGCTGGGGCTATAGGGAGACCCTAATCTCAAAAAGACCAAGAAAACAAAACCAGGAAACAATTGGTTCATATGTGTACGCATGTAGAGGCCAAAGGACTGCCTTGGGTGTTGCTCTGCAGGCACCATTCACCTTTTAAAAAAAAAAAAAAAAGGTAGGGTGGCTTACTGGCCTGGAATTTGCAAGCAAACTAGGCTGCGTAGCACGCTCTACCTTTTTTTTTTTTAATGTGGGTTCTGGGGAAATCAAACTCAGGTCTTTATGTTTGTACAGAGAGCACTTTGCCAATTAAGCCATCTCTTCAATCCTGTAGCTTACTTCAAAAGCCATAAAAATGGCAAATAAACACATGAAAAGATGCTCAACATTATTTTGTGATTGAGGAAATGCAAATTAAAACTAGAATTAGAGCCCTGCACATTTATTAGAATGTATAAAATTCAAAAGCAAATTTACAGGGGCCTGTAAAATGGCTCACTGGGTAAAAGTACTTGCCAAACAAGTCTGACAACTTCAGTTTGATCCCTGGAGCCCTGTAATCCCAGCCCTCTTATGGTAAAATGGGAGGTGCAGACAGGAGAATTTCCCTGAAGCTCAAAGACCAGCAGCCTAGGGGATGCAGCATGGAAGAAACAAAAGAGCCCCTGCCTTGACAAAATGAACGAGAAAACAGACTCCTAAAAGTTGTCCTCTAACCCAATACACACACCATGGCACACATACACTCAAACATCATACACACGTAATAAAAAAAAATTATGATACTAAGTGCTAGACTTAGGAAAAGCAACTGGAACTCATGTACACTGTTGATGGAATGTAAAACAATATAGCCCTGTAGCAGTATAAGGTTAAGTATTATACTAACTATAAGACCTACCCATGTCACCCACTCACTCCCTGGCTATTTGCCCACATAAAGTGAAATTCTTATTTTGGCATGGTAACAAACCTGTTATCCCAGTGCTTAGGAGGTAAGAACAAAGGGTTGTGAGTTTTCATAAAGCTTAAGACATCACAGTGAGATCCCAAACCCAAACAAAACCCTTTCTTTACATAAAATCCTATATATGAGGGCTAGAGAGATGGCTTAGCGATTAAGAGCACTGGCTGCTCTTGTGGAGGACCCAGGTTTGATTCCCAGCACCTACATGGCAGCTAACTTCACAACTCCAGTTTCAGGGGATCTGACATCCTCTTCTGACCTTTGTGGGCATTGTAGGCATGGGTGCCTTAAGTACACCATGCAGGCAATACATTTATACACATAAAATAAAAACAAATCCTGTATGTGAATGCTTAACCCAGTTTTCATCCGGAGAATACATTAACTGAGGTATATCCACAGAATGGAATCGTTAATAAAAAAGGAAATGAGTTACAGATATACTTTTTTAAATTTATTTTTATTTTGTGTATGAGTGTTGTAACTATGTAAGTGCACCTGTGTGGCATGCAATGCCCACAAAGGACAAAAGAGGGCGTAAGATCCCCTTGAACTGGATTACAGGTGGTTGTTAGCTACCATGTGGGTGCTGGATTTGAACCCAAGTCTTAACATTAATCCATGTTAAATTCTCCTCAGCTTATGACATGGTTATTATCTGTACAAACCACTGAAAGCTAAAATATATCAAAAGTGCATTTAATTCACCTAACTCTACGGGACACTGTAGCTTAGCAACACAACACACTCTGAAATACAGACCGTTTTACCTTTTTGTGTGGGTGAGGTGACAGGAAACTTCAGCTCATCATGCTGCCCACTGTCATGCTAGAGAATACCTTGCACTGCTACCAAAGGAAAGGTCAAAATCTCAACTGCAATTTCTACTAAATATATACTACTCTGGCTCCACTATAAAGTAAAAAAATCAAGATGAACAGGCCTGAAAAAAGGACTACTGGCACTGTGATTTAACCATGGCATTTTGGGAAGGGCAAAACAAAGGTATGCAAAAGTTGTCCAGCCTTAGGGGTTGACAACAGTGAATAGCATGAGAAAATTTTAAAACATTCTGTAATTTGACTGTGGGATCTGTATTTGTCTGCTTCTGTCAAATATCTCAGATGGCTGCCACACACAAAGTGAGCTACTTCTGTCTTTTGGATGGTCATCAGGTTCTCCCCATCCCTCCTTTTTGGTGGTGCTAAGGATCAAACCTAGCACTTTATCCATGCTATGCAAGTGTTCTACCACTAAGCCATATCCCCCAGTACCATGATCTATTTTTTCCATTTAGAACCCAGCTTCCACATGAAAGACTACTCATACCCAAATAGCCAACTATGTGCTGGTGAAGATGAACTTTAATTAATCAGTAGGGTATCATTAGCATAGTTTTTGGCAAGACCTCAATTTATCAACACATTTCCTTAAGGATCCAAGTTATCTTACCTTCTGTATGTTTTCAGAAAATGCAGAGGGGAACACAGTAGTACCAGACCAGTGGTTTGAGAACAGCCTGGACTACATAGAGAGAGACAAGTAGGATGAAGGAGGGAATGTAGACACAAAAACATTAATGTAATAGTAAATAAGTAAATCTGTGAAAGGACTTTTGTGAAGCTAGTCACGTTACATTTAAGTTTCTTGGTGTGTATTTCTCTAATTTTAAGGCAGTGTTTTCTGTGTTCTGTTATTTGGGATAGTATGTACACCTGTGAATATTTCTTCATTTGGTGTCCTTGCAGACTTTCCTGGCATCGGAGGAGCTGCCCCACATCTATGAACAATCTTCATGGGGTTCAGAAGAGTTAGGTCCTTTTCTGCGCTTATGCCTCATGGATCAAAACTTCCCAGCATTTGTGGAAGAGGTAGAAAAGGAACTTAAAAAGCTGATAGGGTTGAGAAATTGAAGTCTCTCATACACATGTAACTAAGGAACTTCAAAATACTGAAAATTTTCCTTCTAAAATTAAAGATATTAGAATAAAGAGTTTTGTTCCAAGCACCTTTTATCAATGTTTTATTGTTAAAAACAGGTGAATCCACTTTTTATACATCATTGCACTTCAATAATTACACAAAACACAAGAACATGCATCTACAGTTAGTACTGCATGAGAACCTGGTCAGGTTATAAAATCTATTGTCAATCATTAAATCAATGTGAAAAATACAGTGTCAAACCAAAAGGTGTAAATAGAGTTGCATAGAGTATCACCATGCTATTAACATTTCAGGTCATTGAAAACAAAAGGGAAATTATAAAAGTTTGCCTTGATTGAATGTACAAGAATAAGGTTCAACACATCAGTGCAAAAGATTTCAGAATTTACATGATTTAACAAAAGAAAAAAGTCACTTAAAAAGCAATCATACATATATACTGCAATTCATTATATCCATTCAATGGACTGTTCCAACTTCTTAAAGTTAGAGGTTAAGCCCTTAAAAGTATAGACTTCAGTTTAAATTACTCATCTTTATGTACCAGAACTGCAGTTTCCTCATCTGACAACATACAATAAGGAATGAGTATCAGCAGCTTAAAAATGAAACAAGCGGTTACTTTATTTTGGATTTCTCCCACCCCAAAAAATATAAATATATATATATATATTTATATACTGTATATATCTGTAGGTTTTGCTGTACTTTAAAAAATGTATCACTAGATGGCAGCAGTGCATTTTAGAGCTTTGCCAATTTAACAGCTGCAGAAGTAAAAATGGCGCATGCATGATCTGATCCTCAGAGGACCTTTTCCACTTCTATTTAAATATTTTAACAAAGGGGGAAAAGCAACATTCACAGCACATCAAGCCCAAAATAGTTTACACCTTCTACACTGAAGCATTGTTTAAAATGTACCTGGCTAGGTCACCCTTACAGGAGAGGCTAAATAAGGCATGCTTTAGACGATCATTGTGGTGCTGCTCACTTGAGGGGAGAGACCAAAGAGGTCCAAGCAGAAAATTTAGCAGGTCATGTTGCCATCAGTTTCAGGACCCTAAAGAACTGGAAGGAGAGAAATATTTGGAAATTAAAAAATAAGCACTCTCACTCAGGACTACACCCAGTGGCATCAAAAAAGCTTTGTATCAAATAGCATGCTCAGAGATGTGGCATGGCATTCTGATCTCCATGTGCCTCAGAGGATGGCATGCTGGCCCCGCTGCCTTTTGGCCATCTTTGTCTCATCTTCAGCAGAGGTCAAGTGGCACTAATAGGCCTGTGGGAATAATCTACCTAAGAAGATAATTTATTTTTCACTTCTTTTTTTAAAGATACAAGTAGGGTGCAATGCAAAGTATTTATTATGACATGGTACCAATATAAATATATGAATCAACGCAGCTGAAAAAATTCCTTTCCAACCACTGAAGTGAGCAGACAAAATCTGTTCCACCAGTATCAATTATTCTGAAATGAACTATAAGGTCTACATCAACTATTTAAAGAATTTGTAGTAAAGTGAACAGAGTTATATTTTAAAATATAACTTTGAAAATCTTTTTAAAAGGCCATACTTACATTATAAGCAGTACTTAATTTGTATTTCTCTGGCGTAAGTTTTTATCTTTGTGATTGTTGGTCGAGTTGGTTTTCCTTTGAAGGAAAAATTGCACTTTATGAGTTTAATTAGTCACAACATTTCAAAGTGTTAACACATGGAAATACGGACTCTTTTCACTTAATGCCATCCCTGTTCCTTCTGTAAAGTTAGGACATCTTTTTTCATTCCTAGGGCAGACAACATACAGATAACTCTCCCTTACATTTCTAAACTGAATTCAATTACTTACAAAGGGAGGGTTACTTCTCTGAACACTACTTTCTCAACTGCTCAAAGTGCTGAGCCATCAACTGGCCGGCCACCTGTTTCTTCTTAATCCTCAACTCTAGGAAACCCTGGCAGTCTTGGATTCATCCCATACTTGCAGTTTATCTAATTCTAGTCCAGCTTGAAATGACTTTCAACAGAACCTGAGGTACCAGATATACTGGTCACCTTCACTGTAATATCAATTTAAGCATTAACAAACGTACAAAATTTTAATCAATCTTTTTGTGCATTATTCACTTGCATGTCTAAAAATGAGACCAGGCAGCCTGGCCTAGGAATCAAATGCTCATCAGTCAGAACCGTGGTCAGGCTAAAAAGTATATACTGCAACATTCATTGTAAGGGAAATGTCTTCTCTTACAATCTGTAATACTCCATTTGACTAAATTGAAAACGTAACAAAATTCAATCAGAAACTGTTAAAAATCAATGTCCAATTAAGTACTTACATTGGCCCAGCTGGTTCATCGTCTATGCGTGTTCAATTTTTAATAATCCATGAGATACAAGAGAAGAAAGGAGAAAACTGTTAGATTCCACATAAGAATGAACAGGACAGCTAACTCCAAGTGGCAAACATGGCTATTCATAGCATTTATTAAAGGCCATTCCATCTGGAGGTGCAAAACACTCATGAAGTTATTTCTAGATTCAGTTTTAATGGCAGGTATGCTGTTTCAATGGTTTTAGTTAACACTTTGAATGCTTGTCATGAAAAACTGCAACTGTAGCGGACAGATAGGCTGTAATATCATTGAACTCATCTTGTCCCCAAGTTCCAGTGGTTCACTCTTAAATAGATGAGACGACAAACCAACATCTCAGTTGTAAAATCCTGCTGTTTGTTTTCTTGTGGGGAATGCATGCAGTTCTTGTTCAATCCTACAATGTAAATGGATGTGCACATGCTACACATTTAACCACACATCCTCACTTCCCCAGAAGACACTGTTTTTTCATCTGTATGAGAGTCATTAGTCTGGAGAATAAGACTTGAAGAAGAGGAAGCCATAATAGTTCAACCTAATACTGGGTTAGTCATGCTGGGCTAGACCAGCAACAGGCATGTGTGAACCAGAGGATACCAGGGAGAGCTGAAAAGTAATATCCCTCTAGAAAAGACTTCACACAGAAAGATGGGGCTCACTCTGGTGCCCTGGCCAAAACCAGAACAGCCATGAGATAGCTCTTTTGTCTCTCTCTCTCTTTTTTTTTTTTTTTGTAAATCAAAAAGCTTTCATTATCTGGGTTTAGAAGCCTTGTTAAATTGATACTTCATAATTCTGATTTATAAGGTTTTCTTTCTTGTTTAAACTAAGGGCAACTTGATCCCCTCTTTTAGCAGATATGCATACATCAAGAAATTTTTTTTTTAAAGACCCACAAAGGGGAGGAAACAAGTGCTCTTAGTTTTTACTATACAAAATTGGACAAACTGAAGGATTTGAGAACAGTTTGATTTCACTGAAGGCTTTTAGAAAAACTCTCAGCAGGATTCCACAAGGGTGCTTTGGTGCACATGAAGCAGTTATGGAGATTACATCTGAGTGTAGGCATTGGCAAGAGCACATGTCAGGAGTAATGTCTGTCAGACGGAGACATTGCTCCACCTGTTCCTTTCAGGCAACGGAGAGGCAAAGCCACCGCCAGCACACACAGTGACTGGAGCAAAAAAGGACTTCAAAAAAAAAGAACCAACCACAAACCAATGACTCATCAGCCAAAACAATACGCTAGCGACACACCAGTGTCCACAGGAGTCCACTAACAGTACACTATTCAAACAGGTACAGAGAACAAACTAGGACTTGAGTACACCCAAGACATCTGTGTGCTGTAATGCAGTGGAGAGATACAAAGACAAACCAAGTACTGAGTGAGACATACAAGCCCAGCCTGAACCCTCCTCCCCTCATCACAGCCTACTGCTTAGCACCCCAGCAGGCCAATCAAATACATGCTAGAAGCTAAGCATCTTGGGAGTTTAAAGACAACATAGAAGCAAATGACCAATTTTAGTGTTCTGTGCACCCTAAAATACAAAATTCTAATGCAAGATAGCCGAATCAAGGATATCACCAATCTACCCCCAACTTTAAAAAGCAGGAGAGGGAGAATCACACTAGCAAGGCTAATCTTCATAGCAGACTACGCACCAACCTAAGCACTTCCTACCACTGACTTTTTTCTGTTGGCGTAGGGGTGTACCCTAGTGTCTTATTAGAAATGCCACTTTCCACTCTAACAAGCTGGCCATAAGCAAAGGATTGCATATAAGTATTTGAGCAACTGTGTCTCTGTAGTAGGTGCTGTGCCTGAGTGGGAGCAGCTGTGACTCATGTGGGGTTTAAATCCCAAGAACCCTTCATCTCATTCCCAAATCCACTTGGACACCACAAAGAAGAGGGCTCTCTGCCAAGCCACTGACTGCGGCATCACTCTCCCTTACAGATCAGACAAGAACAACTTGACCCCTAACAGGGAAGTCAGGAGAGAACAGAACTACAGAGAAAGGTACAAAAATCAAAGTAAATGAGGATTAAACAGCAAACTAAAATCCAAATTAGTTGTGAAAGTGAATGAAGTAAATTTGAAGAAAAGTGTTAACATTATGAACTGTGCATTGTATAGACTGAAGCGGAGATTAAACAAACTCCAAAAGCATGCATATCGCTCACTTACCACCATGTTTTAAGGGTTTGATGCAATTGAGGGGGGAAAAAAAAGAAGTCACAGTAACCGACAAATATCAACATACCCCAAAACCCTCAGGCCAAAGCCATCTTAAACAATGACTGTTCTCTCCACCTGGGGATTACTCACAGCCACTGCCTAGATGAGAGGAAGAGGACTGAGGGGAGAATGAAACAAGATGCTTCTGGAATCCATCTGATGGGCGTAAAGCTCCTAGTGGAGTTGGTGCACACACTGGTTTGTCTGCATGTTGTTTCCCCACTGAAGGCACTACCACCTTCACGCCCTCATTTTACACCTCATGATATAGGAAGGGCGCTCTTGAGATACCTGGTACATAATATACTGCTTCTCACAGTGTCTCCTCCAAAATGACGGCCTCAGAGTCAAATAACCAAGACCTGATTCTGGTGAAAGCTCCTACGCCATTACATTCACCTCACTAAGGATTCTGTTTGGTTTTTAAATAGCGTCTTATATTCCAGACTGGCCTAACTCCCCATGCAGCCTAGGGTGACTCTGAACTTCGGATCCCCCACCTTTACTTCCTGTGAGCTGGGATTACAGGCATGTAACCATCAAGTTGGGTTTATATGTTGCTGGAAATCAAACCTAGATCTTCATGCATGCCAGGCAAACTACTCTACCAACTGAGTTACATCCCTGGCTTTTGTCTCTTCTGACACAGGTTCAGTATCTAGCCTAGGCTGGTCTTAAACTCACGAACCTCCTGACTCAGTCTCTCAAATGCTAGGATAATTATGGTTTCCAAACTTACTTAAATTTTGCCTGATCTCAGCAGGGTAACTACCACTATACCCAAGAGAGATGTAATGGTCACTTCCATCAATCTCTTTGTTTCATCCAACTACATAAGGTAACTTGTGACTGACTCAGATGACACAGAGTGTTTTAAACATCACATCTCTGGCTTGCTGTAAAGCTCCATATGCTACCAAATGTTTTGACCAATTAATAGAATTTGTAATATTGAACAGGTCTTCAATTTTAGTGTTTCTAAAAGAACTCATGTCACAACTACTAAAAAAAAAAAAAATACTCCTCCGCCACTGTCAAACCTGCCAATACCTTCAACACCAGTAACTTAACTTCCTTTGACTACTTATAAAAATTACATCAGTGTGAAAAAATTCTTTAGTGCTGTCACTTCCTTTCTTAAATCAGCTGTTGTGATTTAAATTAATGCCTGTTGCCGGGTGTAGTGCCGCAGGCCTTTAATCCCAGCACTTGGGAGGCAGAGGCAGGCGGATCTTTGTGAGTTCAAGGCCAGCCTGGTCTACAGAGTGAGTTCCAGGACAGCTGGGGCTACAAGGAGACCCTGTCTCAAAATGACAGGAGAAAAAAAAAAAAATTAATGCCTGTTAAGGTAAACAAGATAGCCAGTAGAACTGAAGGCCCCCCATACTGAGCAGGGTGGGAGGAGCTCTGGGACACACTAACTGGGCTTTGAGCTGAGTCAGCAAGGGAGTCAACACAAAGGTAGCGTGCTCCAGGCAGGAGTTCAGTTGTATCACGGATGGAAGACTAGACCATTTAATATTTTCAAGGAATATACAGTGAAAGGGCAAAGCTCTTATCTGACTCTATTTCTGACTTTTTTTTTTTTTTACTGAAAACACTAAAAGTGAAAGCAGTATGTATATAATCTACCTACAACATAAGTAACTTATTTAGCACTGATTCTTAGTGATCAAAACAGGTTACTAAAGATTGTAGGTGTGAGGTTTCATCTGTACAACAGCCTGAGGACAGTCAAGGAGATAAAAAGACCAGGGTGTCCTTTTTTAAAAAAACAGCCAACTTCAACCTTAGGCACTTTCATTGTGAAAAATCTAAAGTAGTATGTGCTTTTCTAATTAAACACAAGCTAAACTGTGTGGTCTTCTATATTGTTGTACTGTTCACTTAATGCTTATTTTTCTAGGTAAGGGGATGAGCGACCAGTAACTACAGACTGCCTAAAATATATACATGAGTTTATATACATATATATATTATTTTTATTTTATGTGTATGCTTGTAGGTAAGTGCACTCATGTCGTGCAATGCCGCCGAAGATAGAACAACCAATGTTCTTAACCACTGAGCCATCTCTCCAGCCCCAAGAGTTTATATTTTTAAAAGTTCATTGAAATGAACCACGGGTGTTGATAATAAACTACGTATTTGACAGAGAAAAAGTATACCAGGCCTACAAAAAACTTCCCATTTTCATACCGGCATAAATTAGGCTACAGAGCCACATAAGATTTTAAGTAAAATTTTACTGCCGGAACATTCCAAGTCCATATCAGATAGTGTACCTCTTCACTCATCTCAACACAGTGTGCAAATGTATGTACCAGTAAATTTAGAGGAGCAATGGGAAGAAAGCACATCAGGGAGTTTGTCCTCATGAACTGAGCTGGAGCTGAGGAGAAACTAACAAAGAAAAGGCCAACAGTGTAGGCAAGCTTACTGAAGAACAGTTAACTTAAAAATATATATGCTGCTTCCAGAAGAAAAGCCAAAACAGAGGAGGATGGAATCAGGGAGGAATCTGAGAGAGGTAAAGACAAAGGAAACTATGGGATGAAATGCTGGAGGTAGGGCAGGGGTGTGAAGATGGAAAACGGACCCTGGACCACACTGGCTATAGGGAAGGGACGGAGAGAAGGCCAACAGTGTGATCATTCCAGAATCCCACACTTCACCCAATCCAACAACAAAAAAGTAAAAGCTGCTTGCATGATAGTATTCTCCCAAGAGACCAGTGCAAGGAGGTTTTACTTTGCACTTACCCTGCAGTCATCTCTTTTATGCAGGATTCATTCTAGAATTTAGTCTAAGAGATCTTTTTCCCTCCAGGAAGCTGTTCAGAAGACTGCCCTCCCCCCCATCTCAGTTCAATAACCAAGGAACTCTTAAGAACTCTTCAATGAACAGGCATCTGCACTTGTCAGATACAACCAACACTAACCATTTCTAAAGTCTAACCTGAAATGTGCTGGAACAAAAGCATCAACAGAGTGGCTTATGAGAAGACTGGAACTTCTGGCGGAGACATGCTAAGCTAGTGTGTCACTGTCAGGAGAATGGCGACGACCCTTAAAATTCAAAAATCAGGCTCTGAAACCCACCTGTGCGTTTTCTTAGCTGACTTTATGAAGGTTAAGGAAGGTGACAGTGGGCACAACTAATTCTCTCTCACTGGTCTTGTGTTTTTTGTTTTGTTTTGCTTTTTCCACTCCAGTGCTGAGACTCAAACCAAGGGCCTTGTGCTCTAACTAGCTAAATCTTAACCCCAGCTCCTATCTGGCAAAGCTTTAAAGCATTCTGAAGGGATGAAAAGTCCCATCCCATCCAGTCCTGTCCTCCCCCATCATCTTTTTTTTAGAGACAGGGTCTCTTTAACTCTGGTTGGCCTGGAACTACATAGACCAGGCTGGCCTTGAACTCCCAGAGATCCACCTGCTCCTACCTCCAGAGTACTGGGATTAAAGGCATGTGCCACCATGCCTGGCAGACAAGGCCCTTTTCAGAAATGAAACGTAACTATTTCCAAATAGCCAAACTTCAAACACACAGGAAACAAGCAATGTTCACCCTCCTTCTCCCACCTCTCCATCCAGCTCACTGGAAAAGTATATCTGGAGGGGAGTCCACCAGGTCTTCCCGCAGACATTATAGTCTCATCAATCTCAGTACTCACTCTAAGAATCTACTTAGTGCAGGTAAGAGATTTAATGTAAATCTTTAATGTAAAAAAAAGAAAAGTAGCTGTTGCTCTCAAACATGTCCTTCCAAGAATCTTAAAAGCTTGTTAAGAATCTAAAATGCTAGTGATAAAAGTTCCATTAAGTAAGTTTCCTTTGAAATGAGTATTTATGATCAAATTTATATAAGATTTTCTCAAAGCCGTTTGATTCTAGGCATGTCCCATAATGTAAGATTATGCCTTTGAGGGGGCACTCTTTCCAAGGGAGTACAAGACCTCACTTAGTGCGCTCCACTGACAGACATGGTATGGTGTGGGGAGAGTGGGACACTGTAGTCCTATGCTCAGTCATATGAATTCATCAACTCTGGGGCGGGGGATTCTGTACAAGTGCAGATGGTAGCCCAGCACCACCAATGCTCCAGTGTGCACTGACCTTAGGGGCACACACTTCTACTCTAGTCAGTGACAGGTAAAAGGTAGTCATGGTCAAGTGACCAACTTCTATTTGCTGATAATATTGTAGCCCACAGGGTGGAGATGAGGAGCTTGTTAAGAATCTAAAATGCTAGTGATAAAAGTTCCATTAAGTAAGTTTCCTTTGAAATGAGTATTTATGATCAAATTTATATAAGATTTTCTCAAAGTTGTTTGATTCTAGGCATGTCCCATAATGTAAGATTTCCAGTCTCATTCTTTCTATACTTAGGGGTTCACTGCAGTTCTATTCCCATTATACCTTCTGTAACCCTGGGCTACCTGGGAGACAACCTGGGGTGTAGGCTGGAGTCAACACTTAGCTGTCTTAAATCTAGAAGTTAAGCTATATCCTCTCTAGCACTCTTGAGACAGAAAAGCCAGAAGCCTTGAAAACCTATCAAAGGGACCAACTAGATAAACCAAAGTCTGGCTTCTTCTAATAGCTTTCTGGACACAATCTAATTAGTCTGGGGCAGTTACCTACAAGGGCTACACCAGGCAACCACGTGACAAATTAGATACCTTAAATCTGCCTGAAAGGACAGGTGGCCTGTGATCTTGGGGTGGCTTCTAGGCTTGACTTGGATTCTCCTCAAGCTCAATCTGCCTGATGATCTGTATTGAAGGAGGACAGAGCTGAACAAAGAGATTGGCAGCTGCCCATTCACCACATGGCCTGAAGGGCAAGGTCTAGGGTTTGGAGAACACCTAAACAGGGAGAAAGCTAATTATATTTCTAGGTGGCTAATACAAAAAAATCTTAAGGGTGGGGATTAATAACCAGTGTGAAAGTTTTCCTCTTTTCCTTTAGGAATGGAATCCAATATCCTTATATTCCTCTTGGGTATGTGGAAACCACCCCAAGGAACCAACCCCAACTTTACTCTTAGGGATGCTCTTACCATCAGGAACTTCATCTGGCCTCTTCCTCTTCTCATACACAACAATGATCACCACAAGGATGATGATTTCAGCCAAAATTCCCAAGAAAGGCCAAAGTGGAGCAAGGTGGCTCCGTACCCTGAGGACGGTGAAAACGGAAGCAGAGCCAATGGAGTTGGTAGCATTACATTCATACTCGCCAGGGTCTTCTGTGATCTGAAGGTTCATAATACTCAATTCAGTGTAATTCTCCTTGTTGATGATAAAGAAGCGACCAGAGGTATTGACAATATCCTGCAAAAAAAAAAAGTAGAAACACTCAAAGGTCAGAATAGATGAGCTACTACGCAAGGGAGGGTGGTAATGTCCTCCATTCTTATCAGGACACTGGCTGAAATGAGACAACAGTGTCTAGAACCAGGTTTGTTCAAAGAATTTTGAGCACTTGCCAGGCGTGGTAAATTAGCAGGCCTTTCATCCCAGCACTTGTGAGGCAGAGGCCAGCCTGATCTACATAGTGAACTCCAGACCAGCTGGGGCTACAAGGGAGACCCCGTCTCAAAACACCAAAATCAAAACCAAAAAGCAACAACTATAAAGTATAATTTGGAATTAAAAGCTATGGAGGATATATGAAAGGAAATTGGTTAGAAATCACTGAGTCAAGAGACATAAGAGAATCCAAAGCACTATTTAAACACCATCGAAAATCACTCCACAGGGGCAATAGATTGTTCAGTGGTTAAGTGTATTTACTATGTAGTGAGAATTCAGATCCCAATACCCAGCGTAACAAACTGGGTGCCCTGCACATGCCGGTTACCCCAGAAAAATAGGTGGAGCGTGACAGAGGTTGCTCTTTGTCTCCTTAGTGTGTCCTCAGTCTTTTTATCAGTATTTTTTTTTTTTTGTCTTTTTGAGACAGGGTCTCCCTGTAGTCCCAGCTGTCCTGGAACTCACTATGTAGACCAGGCTGGCCTTGAACTCACAGAGATCTGCCTGCCTCTGCCTCCCGCGTGCTGGGATTAAAGGTGTGTGCCACCACGCCTGGCTTTTTATCAGTATTTTATAAATTCTCAGTCCATTGTCTTCCAAAAATCAAACAAATGAAAAAAGAAAAACACAACAAAAAAACACCATTCAAGAAAGCAATGTGATCCCTTACCAGACAGACAAAAGCTGAACACAGACTGTCCTTCAGCTTCATGGTGGAAACTGACTCATTCCACAAAGAGTGACCCAAAGCATTCCCACACCCAAAGGAATAGCTATTGCAGTAACTGGTCCAGATATCTAGACCCTCAGAGGAAAAACTCCATGAACCACAGAGACCTAGGCATAGAGGACCAGGGCTGCCTCCTACTCACCAAGAGCATACCATTCTCCTTCTTGCGCCATATCCATTCTGGGTGGGGGTAGCCAACTGACTTGCAGTACATCATGGCATCCTGCCCTTCATTTTTGTTCTCACTCCGTTTATGGCCAGTGATATCAGGAGCAGCTGTGGAAAGTATTTAAACAAAGATACCATCTAAACAAAATACCAAGGGTCTTAGGGCTTACTATCTCAGAGCCCTGTCGGTCTTTAGGCACACCATCATATTCAACTTTGATAAAGAGACTTTCAAGTCAGAATAGAGTAATGGGGCCAATCCCATTACCTATCTCTGCTTACAAGTAAAGTTCTTAATATATGAATTTTCTATGAATGTAGACCCATTGGAAAAAGACATAAGCCCAAATGACCTAAGTGCCCAAATGCCTTCCTCAAAGGCACTGTCGCTTCTACTAGTCCAAGTTTTCTTAAAACACCTGCAGTGACAATTATAGATCATTTCAAATGTCACATATTTGCTTAAGGAGATGAGCAATCCTTGAGAGCTAAATATATAAAATCAAGTCCTACTATAAGGTACGTGAAAAGAATGAATACTTGAAAGTACTATCCAATGGATTCCAAGGACCAAAGCTCTCCCAGGAAACAGGGCAACTAGCCCAGAGGGCTTCACAAGAAGAAAGGAATGATCAAGAGCTTCAACCAATGTCTCCCAAAGGTTTTGATAGCCTAATAAAAATCTGATGTGAGCTGGGTGTGGTGGCACATGTCTACTGGGAGGCAGAGGTAGGCATATGGAGATTTCAAGGGCAACCTCAGGTTATACAGCAAAACCTCCCACAAAAGGGCAACCAAAACAAACATGACCACCAAGCCTCCTGACTGGAGTTAGACTGGAATTCACAAGATGGAAGAGAACAGACTCCTCCAGGCTGTCCTCTGATCTCCACATGTATACACAAAATAAATAAATGTTATGGATGGTTTTTTTTTTTTTTTTTTATCTTTTTGAGACAGGGTCTCCCTGTAGCCCCAGCTGGCCTGCCTCCCAAGTGCTGGGGCTAAAGACATGCGCTACCACACTCAATAAATAAATGTTTTTAAAAAAGGAAAAAAAAGAAACTTTAAAAAGAGAAAAGGCTGGGTGTTGATGGTTCATACTTGTAATTTCAGCACTTAGGATGCAGAAGAATAAGTTGTTCAAAGGCAGCCTCAGATGGGGGGAGGGTGGAGCAAGGATATATATGACTAGACAAATCTGTAACTACCTTAGCCCAATCTTGGGAGAATTTTTAGATATGCTAGAGACAGACTGGTTCTCTACCTTTAGGGATCACCTAGGAAGAAACAAACAGATAAACATTAACCGATGGTCTAAAACTAAACTGTTTCAAGGATCCAAGAGCATGATATGGGGTTAATTCTTTGCATTTAAGCTTGTTTCATCTTAATTATATTTTTCACTAATGCCTGATTAGTTCCAGTAAACTGAAAGTAATAAAACTCAAAAGTGGCCAGCTATATTTTTATTGTCCAGACTGGGAAAGGGAATCAAAATTGGTGCTAGTTCCAGTTCTGTTGGCTCTTTATTCTTTGCTTTAGTCTATACTTATCAAACAGATAATTTTTGTCCGTCTACTTCTCACTGTTCTTAAATTGATAAGCTGTCAAAATATCCATTGAGGCTATAAAATCCTGGAGAATTATATCACATTGTGGATCATGGTCTGATCCCACATACCACTTTTGAATTGCTTGGCTTTTTTGCTTAAAAACAATCCAAAGTCCTACAGTGCACAGATTCCTAGGCAGACTGGGCTTGCACATAAATTTCAGAGGCACCTGGACAGGAATGGAATAGGTAAGCTATCTTTCTAACCAGTTCCCAGAAAGCTAAGGTTTGCTCAGTACCACTCTGTGAAATGCTTTCTAGAGTGAATGTTACAAAGGAAATGTCTTATTTTTCCATAAAAAAATTTTTATCACCAAAGGGAATAAGCAGACTGCTTCTATTGTGCCCACAAAAGCCACATTTCCCATAGCTACTCTGCCTTTTCTCAGGTCTATTGATCACCTTTTCTCAGAGATTTTGTCAAAAAATATTAAGCATTTCAAGGCAAGGAGTAACTTTCATAGCTATACCATCAATCAAAATACCATCAGAGACTATGGGGCCCAAGCAGCAGACGAGGTCTAAGCAGCAGAAGGGCTAACACAACTTGCTTTTGTTGTGTTTTACTCACCTGACAAACACGATCTCTTTTACATGCCAAAAACGTGTCTTACAGGGAAGGCAGGTAAAGCCTTTCTGTTTAGGTATATTTAGCACAGTTGTGAAAAAAGGGAGTAGGTCACATATCTTGTAGGAAGAACACAATAGCAAACAGAAGTTTGGTTGTAATACATGAAAAGGTATGCCCATTCATAAGGCTAGTCAGGATCTGGACAAGGAAAGTGTGCATGACAGAAGTAGTTGTAGAAGTGGGGAGAGGTAGTGAGACTTTGGATATATTCTGTATGCTGAGTTCATGTATTTGTTAATGAATTGGATGTGTGGGGCATGAGGAAAAAGGGAGTCTAGGATGACTCCAAGGTTGAGTAACCTCAAGAACAAGAGCTGCCAGTCACTAAGATGAGGAAGACTACAGGAAACTTTTGTTTGTTAAGGAAGAAAATAATAATGATGGTGAAACTCAAAATTTCAAGATTAAGATATGTTGGGGCTGGAGAGATGGCTCAGCGGTAAAGAGCACTAGCTACTCTTGCAGAGGCCCGAAGTTCAATTCCCAGCAACCACATGGCAGCTAACAACTGTCCTTAACTCCAGTTCGAGGAGATCTGATGCCCTCTTCTGACCCCTGTGACCATTGCACAACATGGGTGCACTTGCATACATGCAGGCAATACACTCATATACACAAAATAAATCAAAATAATAAATATTTTATAAAAGATTAAGGTATGTTAAAGGCACATATTTAACATCAAAGTTGAGTTGTAAGGCAGGATCCTCCGGAGCTCAGGGGAATGGTCTAAGATAGAGATACAAATTTTAGAAATCAGCTGATATATTTTTTTTCACATTTTTATCCTCCTTTGACTCAGAGAATACCCCCCATCCCTGGCCAAATTATTTTCCTAATTTCATTAGCTATGTGAATTCAGTAGTATCACAGCTTTTATTGTGGTTTGAATTTGAACTGTCTCCCATGGGCTGTTTCAAATGCTCAGTCCCTAGCCTATGAAATTATTTAGAAAGATATAGGAAGAAAGGAAGGTTACTAGAGGAAGTAAGTCACAAAGGGTTGGCCTCTGAAGGTTTTATCTACCTCTGGTTGGCCTACATTCTACTTCCTGTCTGCTACCATGTGAGTTAAGTCACTGCCTCACACATTTTAAACCACTGATGGAACAATCCCATTCTGCCTTCCAGGCTACGAAGAACTAAAATTACGAGTAAAATACACCTTTTCTCCCTTAAGTTGTTTCTGTCTCTAGAGTACATCAAAACCACCTAGACGGCTGAAAGCTAAATTGGCATACAGCTCCACAGTTTCTATAAAAAAAGAAAATCATAATTTGAAAGGACTCAGACAAATGATCATAACATGGAGAAGGATGGAGATAGTCTTTATTTCCTTTTCAGTCATCAAGTAAAGGCATTCCACAAAGGCTTCTATTTCCATATAGGAACATGGCCTTACAGGCTACTTCTAGATTAGCTAACCCCCGCTGTGCTTCACTGGTCCTGTTTGTAAGCGCCTACAAAAAAGTCTTCAGTACTTAGACCAACTGCTGCTTTCTCCTCATCTTATCAAAGAATACTACATTAAAAAAATGTGTTCCAAAAAATAATACCTTTGGATGCTGGAAGCCCACCTAGCAGGAACTAGAGGGAAGGGGAACCCAAAGCTAAAACATCCTACCCCTGAGTAGGGCGTGGTAGCCCATGCCTTTAATCCCAGCACTTGGGAGGCAGAGGCAGGTGGATCTCTGTGAGTTCAAGGCTAGTCTGTTCTACATAGCAAGTTCCAGGTCAGCTGGAATTACAGAGAGACCCTGTCTCAAAAACACCCCCACCCCCCAAAAAAAATCCTACCCTAAAGGGTGTAATTATCACGTTCCTTAGCCTTTGGATCCATTAAAAAGTCTATCACTATCTTTTATGGTAGTGGCTCAATCAAAGTGCTTGCATCACCAGCTGAGCAGGACACTATACCCACAGCAAGGAAGGTAACCAGGTATTCAGAGTACATGTCATTAGTGAGAGGCCTGTTGGGCCCAACTACATGTGATGACATACAAATAGCTCACAAGTTCTTTGATATGTTGCCATTCAAAACTGAAGCTTGATTTCCCTTATGTTGAGTTGGAACTGAATTTAATAACTCCCATTTTAATAAGTATTTGCATTCTGTATTACTGAGGGGAAAACCTGAAACCAGAACAAGTTCCAAAAATGATGAAAACATACACTGTATAACTGAAAATTGCATAGCAAATTTCTCGCATTATTTTTACTTGTCTATGTGTTGGAAAAACTCTAGACATGAGATGAAACTGATTTACAAGCTCAGAGTTGAACAATATAAAAGGCCAAGCTTTAAATTTAGGAATCAAAAATACCTAGATTCTCTCAAGTCTCTATTGGTTATCAACTGGGCAATCCAACAATGGTCACTTGAAATATTTTATTTCAGTGTTCTCTTTTGTAAAATGGGAGTAATGCATACACATTATTTCACAGAAGCCTTGAGAGGGCTAAATCACGTCTCTATACTAAACTAGCAAAAGTTAGAACTCAGAGTCAAAAATAAAACGCCAGGGCTAGGTATATACTATAAAGAAGGCATGGTGGTACATCCCTGCAATCCCAGCACTTGGGAAAACAAATCAGGAGGACAACACTGAATTCAGGGCCAGCCTAGTCTACACAGTGAGATATAAGCTAGGCAAAGGTACTGTGCTAGTTAGTTTTTGTTAACTTGACACAACAAACCAGAGTAACCTGTAGACAGAACCTCAATTGAGGAATTTCCGCCATCAGAACAGCCTGTGACCATGTTTGCAACACATTTTCTTAACTGCTTCTTGATGTAGGAGCACTCAGTCTACTTTGGGCAGTACCATCCTTGGGCAGGTGGGCTTGGGCTATATAAGAAAGG